CATCAAACATAGTCGAAGTATCCGCGTATTCGCGAGAAAAGAGGTGATTTTGTGCGCAGGTGCCATTGGATCACCTCAATTACTGATGTTGTCGGGTATCGGGCCGGCCAAACATCTTACCGAACTCGGCATAAATGTTATACGGGACGCGCCGGTCGGTGAGAATTTAATGGATCACGTATCTTACGGAGGGTTAACATGGCTGATAGACGAGCCGATAAGTTTGCGACTGAGTGACATGATAAACCCCACTCTTCCGTATATATCAGACTTTCTGTTAAGACAATCGGGACCGTTCACAATAGCAGGTGGATGCGAAGCTCTTGCTTTTATCAACACCAAGTATCCAAAGAAACGTATCGGTTTACCGGATATCGAACTGTTGTTTTCCGGTGGTTTGTACAAAGGAGATATTGTTTTACCGATTATACACGGTCTCGACACTCGAATGCGTCAAGCATCGAGCAAATATATCGGCAAACATGGTTGGACTATATTACCAATATTGTTGAAACCAAAGAGTCGCGGACAGATAAAATTATTAGCCAATGATGTTAACGTTAAACCCGAGATCGTGCCGAATTATTTCGATAATCCGGAAGATGTCGAAACAATGATCGCCGGTATTAAAGCCGCGATGACCGTCGGTCAAACAAAAGCGATGCGGATGTTCGGTTCGCGATTGATAAACGATACTATTCCCGGATGCGAAAATTATGAATATGATTCTTATGATTATTGGGATTGCGCAGTAAGAACGTTGTCTCTCACTATCTATCATTATTCTGGCACTTGCAAGATGGGACCAAGAGGAGATCCAACCGCTGTTGTTGATCCCAGACTAAAGGTATTTGTCAAAAAATACATATTACAATAATTTTTTGTAAAGCTTTTGCTACAACAAATATTCCGATGTATAAAAATAAATGTGTATGTATCGATTAATAATTTATTAACTTTTTTGTACAAGGTAATCGGCGTTCAAGGATTGCGAGTAGCAGATGGTTCTATCATGCCAGAGATTATATCGGCGCATACTAATATACCTATTTACATGATTGCTGAAAAACTAGCAGATATGGTTAAAGAAGAATGGGGATACTTGAATGAGTCATGATCGTGACATTTCATTAAGTAATTTATGTCACATACGCCAGTTTTCATCAAAAAATTTAAATCGCGTATAGAACAAATGCGTCAAACAAACAGATAACTTAATTCAATCAATAAGTAAATAAAAGATAACTATTTTTTCTAAAGCTAGCCAAAGTATGCATAATTCATACAGTATGCATAATTCATACACTATTCGTAGTTCGAAATTTACAACTCATATGACTTTTGTGAACTTAGCACCAGACTTATAAATTAAGTTTTCAAAAAAAGACGTTAATATTTCGTTTATAGTTGCTTACAGCAACAACAATTCATCGTTCACATTTGCAAGCATTATTAAATAAAAGGTTTTAAGAAAATGGTTGTCAAACCATTGTCTATATATATATATATATATATATATATATATATATATATATATATATATATATATATATAATATTGGTTCATGACAATCTATTTATGCACGATTGTAAGATATGGAAAGTTTCAT